GATATCTTTCCCTGTGACCCCCCCAAAGCAGCGGGCCTGGTTACATGCACTGTGGGTATGCTGAATATTATGTGGTAAACGCCATGTGACATGACCTGCATGTGTATCTGAAGGTTGCAGGAGCATTTCAGAAAATGATACATTATGCGCAGAAAGAGCAGAGAAAATAATCATTTGTCCACGACGCCTCTCAGCACAGCCTCTTCGCTCACCACGGCCAGCTGTTTGCACCACATCCTGCGTGGTCCAGCCACACTGATTGCTCTCTGCGGTAGTGAGGCCAAGAGCACATCCAGCTGTGGCCTGTCTGCTGTGGGGGGCGGGGGGGGAGGTACGGTGAGAGGAAGGGAATCCAAACCCCAGCCCACCTACTTTTAATAAGCCAAAGCATCCCATTGTGAATGCTGCCCCAGAGTCCGTCCGTCCATCCATCCATCATCATACATCAATCCGTCCATCCATCCATCTTCAATAAATGCATGCCCAATATTAAGTTGCAGCAACCTTGGAGCCAAAAAGCCCAGGGCTGCAGGCAGGAGGCACCCGGGACGGGACGTGCTGTATCCCAGTCCGGTCCTCCAGGACCCACAGCCGGTCCACGTTTCTTGCTCCCTCCCATCTCCCTGTCTGGCAGGTGGCTCTGCGGGAGCAAAAACGTGGACCGGCTGTGGGTCCCCGAGGACCGGACTGGGAAACACTGACTTAGAGACCCTGTATCTTTCGACTGTGGGAGGAAACCAGCAGAGCGGAACACAAGACGACTGCAAGGAGAGTCACAAACACACGGAGCCGGGCTGAAATGCAGCCCGCAGCCCTAGCAGCGTGTGGCCACACCACCACCCGCTGGTTTACCGTACCCCCCCATACACCCCCCCATACTACGATAGCAACCCTCCGCAAAGGCAGGGAAAGGATGTTCCTATTCACAGACGTCTTCGTCATATTCACTTAGGTCAGATAAAGAGCCCCCTGAAACTGACAGGAGCTATTAGTGATGCGGTGCAGAGGAACAGGAGTAAGATCCGGTGTGTGTTTGTCTGTGTGTGTCAGGGTGTGTGTTTGTGTGTGTCAGGGTGTGTGTTTGTCTGTGTGTCAGGGTGTGTGTTTGTGTGTGTGTGTCAGGGTGTGTGTTTGTGTGTGTGTGTCAGGGTGTGTGTTTGTGTGTGTCAGGGTGTGTGTTTGTGTGTGTGTGTGTCAGGGTGTGTGTTTGTCTGTGTGTGTCAGGGTGTGTGTTTGTGTGTGTCAGGGTGTGTGTTTGTCTGTGTGTGCCAGGGTGTGTGTTTGTGTGTGTCAGGGTGTGTGTTTGTGTGTGTCAGGGTGTGTGTCTGTGTGTGTCAGGGTGTGTGTTTGTGTGTGTCAGGGTGNTGTGTGTGTCAGGGTGTGTGTTTGTGTGTGTCAGGGTGTGTGTCTGTGTGTGTCAGGGTGTGTGTTTGTGTGTGTCAGGGTGTGTGTTTGTGTGTTGGGGTGTGTGTCAGGGTGTGTGTTTGTCTGTGTGTGTCAGGGTGTGTGTTTGTCTGTGTGTGTCAGGGTGTGTGTGTCGGGGTGTGTGTTTGTGTGTGTCAGGGTGTGTGTTTGTGTGTTGGGGTGTGTGTTTGTGTGTGTCAGGGTGTGTGTTTGTGTGTTGGGGTGTGTGTTTGTGTGTGTCAGGGTGTGTGTTTGTCTGTGTGTGTCAGGGTGTGTGTGTGTGTCGGGGTGTGTGTCAGGGTGTGTGTTTCTGTGTGTCAGGGTGTGTGTTTGTCTGTGTGTGTCAGGGTGTGTGTTTGTGTGTGTTGGGGTGTTTGTCTGTGTGTGTTGGGGTGTGTGTTTGTGTGTGTTGGGGTGTTTGTCTGTGTGTGTTGGGGTGTGTGTTTGTGTGTTGGGGTGTGTGTTTGTCTGTGTCAGGGTGTGTGTGTTTGTGTGTGTCAGGGTGTGTGTTTGTCTGTGTGTGTCGGGGTGTGTGTTTGTTTGTGTGTGTCAGGGTGTGTGTGTTTGTGTGTGTTGGGGTGTGAGTTTGTCCATGTGTGTCGGGGTGTGTGTTTGTCTGTGGTGTATCGGCGTGTGTGTATATGTCTGTGTCTTGGAGTGTGTGTTTGTTTTTGTCTGTGTATGTCGGGGTGTATGTGTGTGTCTGTGTGTGTATATGTGCTTGTTTGTGACTGTGCATGTGTGTATGTGCCTGTCTGTGACTGTGCATGTGTGTATGTGCGTGTCTGTGTCTGTATGTGTGTGTCTGTGCATGTGTGTATGTGCGTGTCTGTATGTCTGTGCATGTGTGTATGTGNTGTCTGTGCATGTGTGTATGTGCGTGTCTGTATGTCTGTGCATGTGTGTATGTGCGTGTCTGTGCCTGTATGTGTGTGTCTGTGCATGTGTGTGTGTGTCTGTGCATGTGTGTGTCTGTGCCTGTATGTGTGTGTCTGTGCCTGTATGTGTGTGTCTGTGCATGTGTGTATGTGCGTGTCTGTGCCTGTATGTGTGTGTCTGTGCATGTGTGTGTCTGTGTCTGTGGACTCCCTCTGGACTGCTAAGGATCCAGGCTTCATACCACTGTTCAACAATATATAAGTGGGGGCTTTACCGAACCACTAATGCCCCCCACCTTAATATCCCCTGCCTTGTTCCCTGTGCTCCAGGACATAGGAACAATGGGGGAACTATACCCACAAATATTCAATTTGGCTTCATCCCCACAATAAATAGATCGTTGCATTTAAATTATTACAGTGTGTGTCCCCCCCCAACATTAAACTCTCCCCTTTGCACTTGCCTGTGCTCCTTGGGAACACAGTGACCAATGCCACACATTCAAATCCACAGAACATGACAAAGCTCAATCAAAGCTCGAAATTCTCAAAATATTTCAATTTATGCCAAATTTATTTTTTTATATTTTTTTTTAACAAGCCATAATAGCTATTAAAACATGGCTGTTTCAAAATAGTGTAAAGTATTTTACTGTAACACCAGTCCAAGATTTGCTCCTCCACTTGAGGGGAACATTTCTCAAGACATTTATCTCCAAAGCAACATACACAGCATAAAAATGTCTTTCACGTCATAATCCTTGCATTCCAGGGATGTCAAATTTGGGTCATGCAGGATGTAAAACAGATTTCTGCACTTGATACCCCAGGAGACCAAAGTACACTGTAAATGACTGCCACATCCATACTCGATTTTGTTGAGTATCAATCTACTATTAAAATCCCAATACATATATAATTCAACTGGTCTGTACGTGCTACACTATTATAAAGAGGGAACATAAATATAGATAGACTATTTTATGGCAGGCCCTCGAGCCAACGGGCCGACAAGTCAGGCCAAAGTAGATATATAAGGATGTCCTTAATGGCAGAAACGCTGAGCAAATTAAAAAGTAAAAACATTATACAGATAAAGGTGTCCCAGCGACACACTTTGCACAGCTCATTCTTGGATTAAAAAGCAAACGAAAGCAACGGGTGCATCTGAAGTATGATAGTGTAAGATGTGCACGGAGCAGGCCTCTGTCCTGCGCTACCAACACCCACGAATGCCCACAATCTTATCTGCTGTAGAGGAAATGCAGGCCTCCACCTGCACACAATGAAAAAAAAGTGCTTAACCGCTTTAAGGCGGATCTGTTTCTCCCCGTTCCGTTGGCAAATAGGGCAGTCAGGGCCGCTTACGAGAATTCAATTAGGCCTACCGCTACATCGTTACCGATTACCGATTCCGTTCGCGTTATTCATAACCTCGACGTGCGGACCTGAAATCACAAGCACATCACTGGAGTGGCAGGGTTAGGCAAAATCAGGGCAAAAACGACAGGAAGGAGGAGAAGCCCGCAGCTGATTTCTGGAGACTGTCAGCATCGCTTCACCTCCCGGTAACGACACCCTTGCCTTCAGTTCCTCCAGGAAATTCGGGATTTCACACCGCAGGGCTATAACCAAACAAAGCCTCATGACCTGTCACGTTATGACACCTAAGAAATCGGCAGCTTTCTAATAATGTGCAACTACGGGCAGTTCTCGGTATAACGATTACATTGCCACTGCACATCAATGCAAGGAACGCTTCTTCATTGCTGTAAACCCTTTAAAACACAGTACCGGTCTTATGAAAGAGGGATAGGATGTATTATGGCTATAAATGATAAAAGTTTCCCAATGGCCGGGCCGGTTTGCCGCCTGTAGCCCGGTTGCTTGATTGAGATTTGCCTTTAAGCGCAGAAACGGCACAGTGCGCGGTGGCGGTGACTGGTGCGCAGGCTTCGTGCGCGTCCCAAATTGAGTTTATACTAGAGCCAGTTAACGCCTAGCAGCGGCGGAGGCCCGCTGCGAAAAAGCACGGCGGCATCGCCAGACCTTTACCTGGACCGCAATTCTACCCTTTTCTGTGCCATTAATGTCCACTGCAACATTGCTGCAACTATTCATACATGGACAATGACCTGCGTCTCAGACACTGACCAGATCTACACGAATGGCAGTAATTGGGATGTGCATACATATTATATGGACATCGACTGAAATCAAATAAAAGCTAAATGACATCCCTTCTTCATCCCGACTTTTGAAAATAACGTTGCATCGTTCATTATTTATTTATAGATCTATTACCATATTTTTTGTACATGAGGCTACCACGCAAAATATATAGATTCGCTGGGTACCTCTCGAAGCTCCGCTTAACAAGTTATTATTGACAGATTTGTAGATGCATCTGATACATGACAAATTCGTGTGCTTTGCGTGTGTGCCTGTATGTGTATTGTGCAGCGACTTGTGCAACCTCTAAATGTTTGTATCGGGAGTCAGGATTCTGCTGCAGAGACGCCCCACAAATGGCCATCTGGTACTAAGAGTTAAAACAATTTTATGTTGTTGAGGGGGGGAAAGCGCTATACCACGGTTTGGGATAGCGCAAACAGGAAGGATGAGTCGCGCGGTGGATTACACAGACACTTATGCTGTAACATTACAGCATCACCAGAAGCAGCATTACAATAGGTAAAATACGAGGGATAAACTTACCGCAGTCTTCGCACAAGATCTTCCCAACATCTTTTTTTAGATTCTTCCCATATGTGTCTAGAGGAGCGTACGATGCCTTGAATACCAGAGGCTCGTCTGTTGGGTCCATGAAAAATATGTATTTGTGGTTCTTCTTGACTTTGGTGCACGGAGCCTCCGAACCGAACTCCCCGACGGTGACAAGCTGCTCCCGCTCCAACCCCCCGCTGTTCAGCGGCCACACGTCCAACACTTTGACATTCACACTGTACGGCTCCTTTGAGACATTCACAGGTACAGCCTGCACCTTGCCTTCAATGACCACCGCTGATTTGTAAGCCTGGTCCTGCAGGGAATTTAAACTCGGGGAATAGCAGGCGAAGGAGACCCCGATGACCAGCATGGAGAAATGTACTGAATCAAGCCTCATGCCGCCTGCTTTGGCTCTGTGGTTGCTGGTCGCGTTGCTGCAGTGCTCTCGGGGCGCTTGGGTGATGATGATGGAGCTGAGTTGAAGTAGGAGACTGCAAATAGGCTCCAGTAGCACGGCAGAGCGGCAGACCTTGCGTAAGTGTCCATGCCATCTGGATCTGCTGCTTTTCCAATAGTTTGCAATGGGGAAACACCAGCTAGGAACCGGAAACGGCGTAATGGTGGTGGGTTAAAAACACGCTCACTGCATTCTGCTAGAAAGACATTATAAAATTGCAGGCTTTATATTCTCACAGCCGATCGCGCTACTAGACCCCTCCTAGACGTCTGCCTTTGCCGAAATAATATTGCAGCGGTCGAGTAGGCGTCCTGCTTAACAATGAAAGTAATCTATACGGTCACTGCACTGAAACTGCGATGCACTACAGCATAGATGTCTTTTGTTGTTTTTTTCATAGGCTAAATCCATCGGGTAGACTATTTCATTCCATCGCAGCATCGCAGCGTCCTTCCTCTCCGATCCCGCTCCTCCCCACATACACTAGCTACGGACTTGCGAAAATGCCTTTTGCCCGCAGACCAAGGCGTCTGCCCGATGCTCATTTACAGCGAACGGATTTTTAAGGTCGGAGCACCGGTGTAACTAAACCCCAAACACCGATCGTATAGTTTCACAAAAACCCTCTAAAATCCCAAGCCGTAGTTATTTTTTCAGTTCATCTTCATTCAAGTAGACGTCTCATCTCAGGAAATGGTTCAGCGACGATCAGAAAATAAAAAAAGGAAATGCACTCGTCATGTCTTCTCGCGAACTGACGTCTTATGAAGAATTCTCGGAGAAAACGAGGAACCTCGAGTGAAATAAAATCAACCTAGATTTCGTCTTGGGTGCGATGACTAACGCGGCTAAAGCGCTTCACAGTGCCATAGGATCCTTAGGTCTGTTTCCAATGAGTTTTGCGTCTCATTCCTTTATTAAATGAGCGTCGCATTCAGGTCACATTCACTGTGCCATTGAAAAAAAAATTGATAGCGAGGCGTCAGTTCTGCATCAGATCTGTACTATTCAAACGCCCACTACAGTGGGCTTATGACGACCAGATAGCACAAGAACGTCGGATTTCTTTCTTTGCCCCAGTCCTATCAATGAAATAACAGAATAGATAGATAGACAGACAGACAGACAGACAGATAGATAGATAGATAGATAGATAGATAGATAGATAGATAGATAGATAGATAAGATGGAAAGGGGGAAAGACTCATAACAATAAGCTTATGTACAATGTTTACTGTCGTGGGACGCATGACGGACTCTGTTGAAGTATGATTCTCGGTTAAACGCTAATGCTGAAGTCAGCTTTAAGGTCAATACCTGATATTGCATACAATCCTGTCTCTATACGGATGATGGGGAGCCAAACGTTCACAAAGGGCGCCACCTGCCGGCTGAGGCATGCTTGAGCTTGCAGGCGAGAACACGGAATCCAGGAATATAGTTAAACAGCAAAGTCTCTCTGCTCTACGTCCTGCTATAGATGAACGCAATTAATTTAATCGAGTACATCTTTATTTACTCAAGTAGGAGACTGAAAAGAAACAAGAGATTGCATATTACTGTATAGACGTTCTTCTCTTTGTCTTTCGGTCTCTCTCTCTGCATGTTGTATGTATGTATGTATACATGTATATGCGTATGCGTGTATGTACTGCACTTTATAAGACAAAAGTGCAGTAGAAGTGATTTCAATCTACAAATACCTCAAAGTTAGAAATTAAGATCACCTGTCGTTCGAATAAAAGCAACAGAGGGAACAGATGCTGCCGAATGATTGTGTATCTCATTATTAACGTTTGTAATATACAGGGTGTACCAAATAATATTACAGTAACTGGCAAAAACACCGCATGTTTAACAAAATAGAATTACGATTTATTGCTGTTAAAAACTTTTTAAATAAATATATTGTATCACTTGTTGGGACCATTTCATTTGTTCGGTTGCATTTGACGGTTTTCAGTTCAATGCTGTCGAACCATAGGCTGCATAAACTAAGAAGTGAATCGAATAAATTGATTGTGCCCAGAGATGACACAATGCGTGCAGTTAAAGAAGCGAATGCGGTTATTGTTCGTGACGTCCCAGTAACTGTGGCACCGCTACGGCTATGGCGCCGCTGTCCGTGGTGCTGAACGACTACCAAAGCCTATACGGGTAAATATAGATAAAAGAAGAAGAACTGTGTACTCAGCACTGCAATCATTTGAAGAAAAAAACATATATAAATACGGTAAAGCACTATAATAGCAAAGGCATAGTACAGCTAGTTGTACGCCATTACTGGCTGCATCTGATACCCATTCCCTTTACCGCGTTCTGCAGTTGGTTGGTTGTGAATGAATTCTTGTAGCATACTCGCAAAACAGTGCAGTGGAGTTTTCATATATCAATGACACCGGGCGTGATAAACGGCTAATCGGGGATTATTTTAGATTTGCTTTGAATTTAACTAGGCCTACCCTTAAAAGGCAGGGAAGTCGGTCTTCACACTTCAGGGGCGCGTGTCAGGGATCTGGTTTGTCACCGCGACTGTACGCATAGCGCCAAAATTATAATGCAATGGAACTGAGCAAATATATAATAGATATATATATCGGACATGTGCATGGTTGGTTTGACATGAATGATGTAATGACAATTTTATGTGAGGGTTCGTAAGTTTTACTTTATATTTCATTTATAAATATTTCAAGAGCGTCCTTTTATGCATCTTTTTACACACAACTTAAACAAATCTAGGAATCGTGGATATATTTCAACTAGGGATCCAAAGGAAAAAAAAATACTTGATTGATACTAAATAAGTCGAACAGTACCAAAATATGACACCAATATATTATTTGCCATAATTATTAACATGATTTCGAAATGTCCTGCATTAATCGGCGATTCTGCATGTTCACCACTACTAACAAAGCGGGACAGTGAAATATTGCAGTTCTAAGGTTATTGATTACAAAACATTTTGCCATTTAAGTCGAAGATTCGCTATTCTGTTAGCGAAAACGATAATTTTATCAATGAATGTGGAACTGGACGGGTTATACGGAGCGTCAGCAAGTGCAGTACCAAGTTAGCCACAGCGAGAGGGCGCCAAACTACCATTATTTCCATTCTCTAAGCGTGCTGACATCAGAGAAGATGCGTACGGCGTTGCGGCCGTGCGTGCGTCCGTCTCCATGCCACGACTCGCTGTTTCGTTCCATCTTGGGAAGCGGCGAATCAGTGAAGCAGCCCCGCGACAGTGTTGACAGTAGGCCTCCCTAGCTTGCGGTGCCTCACCTTTGTCTCTAACCGTGTCTGTCTGCGACGGGGCTGCGCAGAGGTTCTGTTGCGCTCTGCTTGCAGACACAGAGGGGTAAGGTTTGCATACCCTTGTTGGCTGTTATTATTTTTGTGACTGTGGAAGAAGACGACCATTTATGCACTGGGTATTGCACTGACTGCTAATATAATAATGTAAGTGTTTTGCTGTGCGACAAAACCCGATCATTCACGCACTGCACATACACTGTCTTGGCTAAATGGGCGGTTTCCTGTGATGCTCAAAAGTAACATACGAGTGGCGCTTGCTTTTTTTTTGCAGCGCATTCGCGTACTTCCAGCGCGAGTGAGTATATCTATATAATTCCTGCAATACTGCAGGATGACAACTGGGTAATAACAGAGCAGGATAAACGAGAACATCTGCTTTAATTGCACGTCCACTTAATGAATTTCGCAATGGAACTGATAAGCCGCTTCTGTATACATACTTATACGCGCGCGCCCGCAACCATACACACACTGACACACAGCAAACACACCTACAGACTGAGACGGAGCGAGAATATGTCCTCGTCATTGCGTCTAAGAATTTATATAACACTTGTTGAGTTTGTTTTCCCGTTCGTGTTTTGGTGTTTTGTTCCTTTTAAAATTAATTTTCACGTCCGTATATACTCTAGCGTTGCACTTACTGTCTCGGAAAATAAAATGGTTTCTAGAGAAACTGCTGAAATGGCTCTGGCCATCAAGTCCTTAATAAATCTCAATTCATCTGATACATCTGATACATCTGATTTTCGTTAGGAAAATACGAAGATCTTTTAAGAAAGTCTGCGGTTATCCACGCGATGGGGAACACTGGGGAAATTTTCCAAGCATAGGTATTTAAGAACCACTATTATTATTATTATTATTATTATTATTATTATTATTATTTAAACTTTAGTTAGATTGCATGGTTAAAATGGTAAAGGCCAAGCAATAATATACATTTTGTTTTTATGTCCTAGACGCTGGCCAAAGTCAGAATTCCATTTAAAATAAATAAATAAAGAAAGAAATAAAGAAATAAGAATGATGTTTTTAAATCAGCTTATTAAAAATTTTGAGGCATTTTTTTCAACCTCAAACCCATGAAACTGCAAGAATTTCTGTGTGAGATAAGTTGAAAGCATTGAAAGTATTCTTAATTGAAGTACGCCAGATAGGTATTACTTCTGTCATTCAGTAGAATAATTACGAGCTGATACTGAATTAATAAGTTGTTGAAGCCCGTAACTGTTACACGTATGCATTTTCAGAAACAGTCTGTACCGCTCCCAGTTTGAGTTCATTCCTTTTCACGAACAGGACTTCATGAACCTCCTGAAAACAAAAACCACATTAGAGACGAATCTGAACTGGCGCATTAACGGAAAAAAAAAAAAACATTTACTAAACGTGTTATTTTTGGGAAATTTTGCAGACTCCTTGAGCTTTGAAAAACATTTATCTATCAATTAGATATGATATCTAACCGGATCACCTTGAGGACTTCTTGATATCTTTAGGTATACACTTTTTGTTTTTAATTATAGAAAGTTGAGGATGATACCTATTTTAAAATACTTAAAACATTTCCCTGTATTTGTCTGCCAGTTACGTTTATTTCACGCAATAAAGTATTACATTCCAAACATTGACAAGAAATTAAAATGTAAAGAAGATAACCTAACATTTCTGTCATTTACATTTTTATTAAAGCAGTACTATATTGTAGTAAATAACTGTTTTGCCCAATTTGTTTGCAAAGTAAATGGATAAAAAGTCAAATTCAAATACTATTTTAAATTTTACTTTATTACGACAAGACAGATTTTAGGTTGCAATTATTATTTTTTCAAATATAAAGTATTTATAGAATCGAAATATTTTGCTTTAGAAGTTCTGCTTCGAATATTCGGAGTATTTTCCAAGTTTGTAGCTTAGATCTTTGATAATTTCATCAACAGGATTTTAAAAAAGAACAGTGATCGATTATTCTCTCAAACAGCCAAAGTCAAAATGACTTAATATAGAACCTGAAAGAACGGTAATCTGATTCGTTCAGATGCATACAAAACTTCTAAAATCGTACCCGATGCTGTTAAACTTTTTCGATACGATTCTGCGCTAAAATAAATTTAATAACCGAGCCTGGGGCGTTATATTTGAAATTTTAAATAATAAAACCAGTTATCTTAAACCATTTAACTTATTAAACCATTTAACTTATGCTCAGTTAAACCATTTAACTTCTTTTAAAGCGAAACGCATATAAAGCATGATCAAATATGGCCTGGAATTAAGTTTAAAATCTCTTAGCGCGTTTATTAAACTTCAATGTAATTCCTTTGTATATTGTTATACGTTTGCGGTAATTTCTTCAGTAGCCTGTATAAATATACTGCGAGTCAGATATAAATATTTTTAAAACTAATGTGTTACAGTTTTTATTTATAAAAATAGTTCATTTTTAACTCAGCGATACTATAGGACAGATATATCAGAATCATAAAGGAAACCAGACAAATAGCATCGATTGTAGGGTTAGTTCACATCTAAATAAGCAGACGCATGTTGTGCAGTAAAATTTATGCCGAATTTCTAAATATAGTTCAGAAAGTGAATATAAAATATATGCAGATCAAAAAAAGAGGTCATGTTATTACAATATT